ATTAACCCCGGACCTATGTAGCAGGGCGCTGCCCTGTCACGTGGAAGAGATCCGGTCGGAGATAGCGTGGGCAATGACGATAGTGCCCGACTATCAGCTGCCGGTGCTCGGAGAGCCACCAGCTGCGGAAAAGCGCAATAGATCGATGGAGGTTGCGCAAAATAAGTCGAAAAGAGCCAGGACGCAAGGCCCCACCTTTGCTGAGGTAGCCAAAAATCGGATCCTCCTGGGTGTGCTCGATGAGAACCAGGAAGACGAATTGGCACTGAGAGCTCACTGGAAATGGGTTAAAGCGGAATTGGCGAACATCTGCGTCTGCGTGCTTCGGGAGCACCCCGGACCACCTCCGATATGCCGGGACGCAGGTTGGTTCCAAGGCAACGTCAAGATCGTCGCGTGCGACGATGAAAGGTCTGCGGGCATGTACAAGAAGGCGATGGCCATGCTGGGAGAGGTCTACCCCGGAGCGATGCTACGGGCTGTGGACTTCAAGGACATCCCATCCAGGCCCAGAGCAAGGGCATGGATACCGGCCAAACCGACCGAACCAGAGAGAGTGCTTGAGATTATAAGGCTCTTTAATCCCGAGTTACCCTCTCACAATTGGAAGGTGGTGCGGCTAGAGCACAGCACAAAGGCGACTCGTCAGGCGGTCCTTTTGCTAAATAAGGAGTCGTTGCCACTCCTCGAAAAGACTGGGGGCGTCATCAATTACGGTTTCGACACCGCAAAGATAAGGGTGTACACGAACGACGTGAACGCAGCAAGAGGCAACGAAGTTGAGCCGGAAGCAGACAACAGCGAGGATGAGGTGGACGAGGAATCCAACCAGGCCAATCCGATGGATGACCTGGCTGGTGGATACGCCTCATCTACATCCTCTCTGGGAGTCGACCATATCTTCCGGCAATACACAGAAGAGGAGCTGATGTCAGATGACGACGAGGCGAACTCAACTGTGGTGGAGGGGGTGGGAAGGTGCGGCCAAGATGGTTCGCGTCCTCCAGATTAATCTCCACCACAGCAAAGCAGCGTCGGCTGCACTGCTGCTCCAGCTCTCCAAGGGGGCAGCAGACATCGCCCTCATCCAGGAGCCTTGGGTGATAGGGCATGGAATATGCGGGCTGAAGTCGGCAGAGCACACTTTGATAAGTGGAGCTACCATAGGTAAACCAAGGGCCTGCATCCTTGTTAGTACCAAACTAAAAATATTGTTTCTTCCTCAGTTCAGTGACGAGGACACCACCACCATCAGTCTGGAGGCGAACGGACGACAAATAAGGCTTGCCTCGATGTATCTGGCACATGACAGGCCTGTTCCAACCCTACCGGTCGAACATTTAGTGGAGCGCTGGGACGGGGCCCTGATTCTAGGAGGTGATGCAAATGCACACCATAGCACATGGGGAAGTGGAGACATCAATGAACGGGGTGAGTCACTCTTTGAATTCATACTAAAATCTAACTTAGTTATAAGTAATAGGGGTAGCGAGCCTACCTTCATAACGAAGAGCAGAAGAGAGGTCCTGGATGTTACCCTCGTCTCAGAAGATGCGGAGGTCATGATCAGGAACTGGAGGGTGCTTGATGAGCATTCCTTCTCTGATCATCGCTTCATCCAATTCGACTTAGACGGGGTCCCGTCCAAGGTACCTGCCAAAAAAAAAATCTAAGGAAAGCCGACTGGCATAAGTACAGAAGAGAGCTTGACAAACGGCTCTCAAGAACCACACTAGCAATTCCAGGAAACTCTAGGGACCTAGATAGGCTGGCAAATCGCTTTACTGCGGCATGTGGCAAGGCCTTGGTGGAGTACAGAGATTGACGATGCCCGCAAAAATTGTCGTAGAGCCTTCAATCTCGCAAAATCCTCGGGAGGCGATACGCAATGGGAAATCTATAAGTTAAACTTGAAAGATTACAAGAAACTACTAAGGAAGAGCAAGAGATCCTCATGGAGGAACTTTTGCAGTGGTATGGAATCCGTATCAGAAGGTTCTAGGCTCAGGAAGGTTCTCTCTAGTTCACCTCGTATCGCCCCGGGATGCTTGCTAAGATCCGACGGAGCGTGGACGGAAACTGGGGAGGAATCCCTGGACCATCTTCTGAGCACGCACTTTCCAGGCGCCACCGAGCAGCCATTGAACGGGCCAATAAGAAATAGAGGTCAACCGGTTACGGTAGACCTCATCACCAAAGAAAAACTGATGTGGGCAATAGGGTCCTTCAAGCCTTACAAATCTGCGGGTCCAGATGGTGTTACACCGATTCAGCTACAGCAATCTATGGAGCTAAGCTCAAAATGGCTGTATGTTATTTTTAAGGGAGTCCTCACTCTCAACTACATTCCGGAGACCTGGCAAAGGTCAAAGGTTGTCTTCATTCCTAAAGCGGGAAAAACATCCCATACTCGCGCCAAGGATTTTAGACCTATCAGTCTATCATCTTTCCAGCTCAAGATATTGGAGCGACTGATTGAATCCTTTCTTAGGGAATCGGTTGCAGACAAGCTTATGGCTTCGCAGCATGCCTATATGAAGGGGAAGTCCACCGAAACAGCGCTACACGAAATCGTGTCGCATATTGAGAAATCCCTTGCGATAAAGGAATACACCTTGATAGCATTCTTAGACATTGAGGGTGCTTTCAACAACATCACACCTGAAGCAATCACATCAGCTCTAACTGGTCTGGACATCGACTCACGGCTGGTGTCGCTTATACGACAGCTGCTAGTTGGCAGGGTCGTGCGGGCGGAACTGGCGGGCGTGTCGCTGGACAGATACGTTTGCAGGGGAACCCCGCAGGGTGGGGTCCTCTCCCCCCTTCTTTGGGTCATGGCGATTAATGAATTATTGCAGACCCTGGAAGGGGGGGAGGCTCCAAGGTCATAGCGTATGCTGACGACCTTGCGGTGGTTGTGAGTGGAAAATTTCCACAAACTCTTTGTGACATTATGCAGGACAGACTAAGGTTAATCGAGAGATGGACCAAGGAAAAAGGTCTGGGTGTTAACCCAGAAAAAACGGACCTGGTGCTCTTTACCAGGAAGTACAAAATCCCCTCACTTCAGCTCCCTGTCATAGGCAATAAGATTCTGAAGCTAGGGGAGTCTGCAAAATATCTAGGCGTAGTCCTGGACAAAAAGCTTAACTGGGCGCAAAATATACAAGAGCGTGTTAAAAAAGCGACGGTAGCCCTCTACAGCTGCAAGGGGGCGATTGGGCGTAGCTGGGGGCTGTCCCCTAGCATCATGTATTGGTTATACACGGTAGTTGTTAGGCCGATTCTATTATATGGGGTCTTGGTATGGTGGCCAAGTCTCAACAGGAAATCTACAACTGAAGCACTCCAAAAGGTGCAAAGAACTGCGATGCTCTGCATCTGTGGGGCCCTGCGCACAACTCCATCGGAGGCTATGTGCGTGCTCCTCGATATTTTACCAATTGAAATTGTTGGAAAGCAATCAGCGGGGTGTGCCGCCTTGAGGTTGAGGGAACTACCAGGCTGGAGGGACACTCAGGAAGGCCACACCGCAATCTTAAAGGACGTAAATATACCGGACACGGATTACTGTGCACCAAGGTTGAACTTCACAAAGAGGTATAGGATTTCCATTCCAGATAGAAAATTCTGGTCAGGAGGGGCTCCCGATGACAATGGATCACTCCACCTCTACACCGATGGCTCTCAGCTAGACGGCAAGGTAGGAGGGGGGGTCTTCTCGGCCCGACTGGGGCTGGAAATATGTTTTCGCTTACCCAACCACTGCAGCGTCTTTCAAGCTGAGGTCGCTGCCATACAGGAAGCGGTTGAACACCTACGTACAAGAGAAGTCATTTATAACGATATCTTCATCTACTCAGACAGTCAGGCCGCACTCAAAGCGCTCGACTCGGTCACATGCAGTTCAAAATCCGTAGCGGACTGTCGCAGATCTCTAAACGAGATGGCTGAGCAGTCTGCTCTTCACTTGGTATGGGTTCCGGGTCACCGGAACATACCAGGCAACGAAAAGGCGGACGAACTTGCAAGAGAGGGCACATCCGCTCCACTTTCGCAGGCCTGGAAGGGATTAGGCATGCCGCTCGCTACCTGCAAGCTCATTCTAAGGGATCTGTCTCTTAAACTAGCAAGGGACAGGTGGGATAGCCTCACCACTTGCAACAACACGAAGCTTACATGGCCTAAATGGGACAAAAAGCGGTCGAAGGATCTCCTCATGCTGAGCAAAGGAGACCTAGCCGCAGCTGTGGGTCTGCTAACAGGCCATGTTGCTATCGGGGGACACGCGGAGAGGTTAGGGATCCCCCATAACGACTTCTGCAGAAGCTGCAGAAATGAGGAAGAGCCAGAAACCTTGCGGCACCTGTTATGCGAGTGCCCCGCACTTTGTAGAAGAAGACAAAAGTTCATGGGTTCAGGATTCTTTGAGGACCTAACCGACATAGCCGAAGTAGGCATACGGCAACTTCTGGGTTTCGCAAAATCCACACGATGGTTTGAGTAGGGCCTATGTGTGCTAGTGGGGTCACTGGCAGCCACTTTAACCTAACCTAACCTAACCTATTGATTTTACTATCGATTTTTTCTGAACTTATCGATATAATAAACAATATATTTTATCAATTTTGTTATCGATATTTTAATCGATTTTGTTATCGATTTTTTTATATATTTTGTAATCGAGTTTGTTATCGATGTTTTGTCGAGTTTGTTATCGATTTTGTTATCGATTTTGCTATCGATGTTATTATCGCGTTTGTTATCGGTACTTCGGAAGGCGCTGGTTTTCGGTATAGTAGAATCCGAGGGTGTGAGAGCATAAAAATTCCTGTTTTACTTTTTCACATACATTTTCGGGCCACCCTATTAGACACACTTAACTAAGACGAGCAATCAGAGGGAAATATGTATGTCGAAACCTCAGCCACTGTTCTTACATTTCATAGTTACAGTTTGAGGGAGTCATATTTAAACAAAAATATACTACTGCTTACCTTTTCATTTACGTAAAAGCTCTTTCTGCCAATCCAATAATATTTTATCCTGAAAGATACATAGAAAAAGAAACATGTTATTCTTACTTTACAACAGTTAATCAAATAAGCTAAGAGTTAAGTTAAGTTTATCAATGAGGCAGTTGCATCACTCCAAGTAAATATCACCTCCCAAATTACTACCTTTTGTATGCATTGAGCACTTGACTGATTTACTCTTAAATAAGAAAAGTTTTCGCATTTTGATTTGCAACTAGCTGGGTGTGAATTATGCGTATATTTGGGTATAATAGACGAAAAGTCGGACTGCAATGAAAAGCCATGTAAACAATGTTGTTGAACATACATATCGTTAAAGTACAAAACCGCGTATCAACAAAATACAAAACTGCGTTTCAAGATAATGCAAAACCTCGTGAGGTTGCATAAATTAATTTATTCTTTATTCATTTGTTTTTAATATTTATTTTTATTATTCTTAAGTAAAAAATACTTAGGTATTTAGGAGCTGTTAGATACTAAAGTATAAAAAATTAAAGTATCTATCACTAACGTACTAAAGTATTTGGTAGATGACCAAATGCTTACAAACTAAGTACTTTGTTATTTATATAAAATTAAAACAAATAACACATTACCTTAAATTCACCTCAACTTATCTTACCACAACTCACTTCAACTCAACTCAACTCACTTCAACTTACTTACACAAACTCAAAACACCTAAATCCACCCACCACACCTGAACTCATCACACCCGTACTCGCCACTCCTCATCTAAGCTCACCACACCTCAATTCACCTCATCTCTATTTGGCCACTTTTTCGGGATTTTCGAGATTTTCGGCATTCTCGGCACTAAATTTGGATTTTCAGGACTACTTCGAGATTCATTTCAGAAATTTTTTTATATCTATCGATTGATATCGATATAGTTATCGATAAGTTTTTCGATTTTACAATCCATTTATTTTTCCATACTATTATAGACAAATTTATCGATAAAATAATCAATAATTTTATTTTTATTACGAAAATGAGGCCAGAACATAGTGTATTTTATCCTTTAGAGGGGTGTAACAACAGCTTGCGTCTTAAATAAATTACTAAAAATTGAGAATATCGCAGGTGGGTGTTGTGGTTGAATAAAATACGAAGCAGTTGGCACACAACTTGTCTTTGAATATTGCATAGTATCCATTTTCAAATTTGACATCAAAGTATATACAAACAAAAAGTGTTATTAAAAGCAATGCCGCAGTTTATTTTAGCTTTCGACTTGAATGCAACCTATGTGAAACCAAAAGAGAAGGTGCTAATTTCCAAGAATCTTTTTGCAGAAATTAAATTCTTTCGTTCTTTATCTACAAACTTTTCCATGGTTTCTGTTTTCTGTTTTCTGTTTTTTTTTTTGCGTAATCAAATTTGTGACTTTTGTTGCTGGAAGTGATTTCCGCGTATTAAGCAACCGTTATGTTAAAAATTTACAACAGAGCATAACAAGTGTTTACAGCTTTGTACATACTGCTAACTAATTATCACACAAACACGTGCAAGAATATACGACGACATGAGCGGTAGAAGCAACCAAAATTGCTTGCCAAAACTTTTTAAGAAAATAAGAAATAAAATCGCAAAAAAAATAAAAACTACAAAAAGGTGTAAAGCAGTGCTACCGCTGTGTCATTTAGTGACTAATTTTACGACAATCAAAAGCGGCATGGCGCGCAGAGAGATGAGTAAGGAAACAAGTTAACTTTATTGTGAATTTTATTCTCGTTTTTTATTGGATTTTTCTGTCATAGCAGCGCTTGGTTTTAGACACATTTTAGCTCACATATCTAAATTTTATGTATGTATCTACATACATGTTATACTTCTGACCGTCTAGCTGCGCATTTTGTTGTTTTTTAGACACAATAAAGTTGATTATGTGTGGATAATTATGATTCGTTTTTTTCGCTTTTTTTTTGTCGCGGCACGTTGAAGCCGAAATTGACCACTGGATATGCCGCGATATTATTACCCCGAGGAGCTTATTTACAACTGCAGGGACTGACAGTTAGAGACCAACAGCACCAGATATATTTTATGGGTATACAGGTTAGCTTTTAAGAGCGGCTCAATGCTGCAGGGCAACGCTGACTGGCTTGCTCACCTGCGCTTTGGATAGCGCAATTGCTGTGGCATTAATGATGTTTGCTATAAAAATTTATAATGATTTGGTAAAATAGTTCTTTGGCATATACACATAAGTATGTACTATTTTAAAGTGCTGCACAAGCGCATTTGATGTTGCCTGAGCGATCTGTCGTCTACACACTGTTTGGTATCACTTATGTACATATGTATGTACAACAGTGCTGGAACAGTAACGAAGCAAACGTGACGCCAACAGTACAGTCGTCATTTCGTCTTATCCGACGTCAGTTGAACACGCAAACAGGGCATAGAATAGTTCTCTCGAAAGCACCGAAAGCCTTCTCAACAACGTCCCTAAGTTTCAGTGAGCAACTACAGTAAAATTTTTTAATAGAGAGTATCGCAGGGTCAATCTTAAGTGGTTTTTTCAAATAATTCCGCACAATTTGCGGCCCCATACGTGATTTTTTTTTTTGTACTTTTGGTATCTCTTGGGTACCGTTTGTGTATTTTCAAGGTCTCTCCGGTATTGGTTTGCGGACAATTTCCAGTGTTTGGCGTAATTTTTTCTGTATCACTTAAAGTATTTATGAAGATGTTTTTTGATATTTCGGTAATTTTTATTCGGTATTTTTTAATTTTTTGGTGAGCAGGATTTTTTGCAGTTTTGAGATTATTTCGGGACACTTTCGGTATGTTTGAGGATAATTCGGAATAGCTCAGGATTAGTGTGTCTAGCAACTTTTTATCGGTTTTTCGGAATATTTTCGGACTTTAACGGGTTTTGAAATTTTTGATACTTATTCAGGAATAATTTTGTATACTTCTTTTAGCATATTTTCGGTAGTTTTCCGGCAGTTTTCGGGGTTTCGGTATTATTTCTGCACCTTTTCGGGAATTTCGGCACCTTAAGCGGGTTTTTTGAGACTAATATGGGATTTTCGGAATTATTTTGAGATTACTATTGTAAAAAGCGACTGACATTTTCCCATGAATTGTTTCAGCCGTTTCAGGATTATTTCGGAATTTTCTGGACTAAGTTTTCAGAATCTTCAGGTATTTTTTAGCTTTTCGAGATTTCGAAATTTTCAGGACTAATTGGGGATTACTGTTGAATACATGGTTAGCTTTTTTCTGGGGCAATTCCGAATTTTCGGGAGTAATTCGGCATTAGTGTTGTATACAGCGTTTAGCATTTTTTAAGGGATTGTTTAAGACTTTACGGAGTTTCGGGAAATTTTGGACCGACGACTTATGATTTACAAGACTGTTTCGAAATTGCCATTGTATTTAGCGCCTGCCATTTTTTTAGGAGGTGTCGGAATTATTTGCCGTCTTTCGGGTCTAATTCGTTATTTTCGGTACTAATGCGGGATTTCGGAACTTCTCGGTATTTCTTTAGTATAGAGTATTACTTAGTGAAGCCATAAATACATATCAATTTTATATCAATTGCTTAGAAAGTCAAATCAGATAGCAGCAGCAATTTTTTGTTTTATTCTGTAAAAATTTTAAGTGCATGAACAGTACGTACTTGCGTATACTCCCATCCGCACAACCTATTGCATATATTGCCACTAATTTGATTTTCGCTGCCTTTACTGCCCTCTGCCTTCTTTTACAATACTGTTTTGAAGCAACAATGCTTAGTTACAAAAGGTCATACAGATTGTTTACAGCGTTCTCTTCAATTAATTTGTTTGTTGAGAATAAAATATCGCAGTTTTATGCTAAAAGAGCAACAGACTTGAGATCAGATTTAAGTCGACTTGCGCAGCGGTTTATTAAATTTTTATAAAAACGTGAAAACAGCTGTCAAACACACAGTTGCTGTCGCAGCAGCTGTCAGTTTGTCACTCAGTCAACATGAAAATCTGCTAGTCACTACAACAGCAGAATGATAGTCAAAACAAAAGCATCAAAAAGTGGCTTGGGGTGGTATTATTATAGAGTTTTTTTTTTCTGCCAACCAAATCTTTAGTGTGAAATTTTTTTCATTAAACGCATATGTGTATTTACATGTGTTCGTACATAGTTCACCTTTCCCCACACATTCATACATACGTACATACATATGTGTATAGATATTACGTGACCACCTCTGTAGTGCTGTAACAGCAAAACCTCTTTTAGTGTAAATATATATGTATATGTATATACAGTATTTTCTTCATTTCTCACTTCACGCTTGCGCTTTCTATTAGTTTTCTAGTGAAAATTGTATACAAAATTACATTAACCGTTAATTCTTAGCAATTTTTTCCAGCCATTAATTTTTTACCATACACACATGTGTAGATATGTACATACACTTTTACATATACATATACATATACAGCACTTCGTAAATAAATACATTTGACCCGCAAAAGGGTCTCGCCGTTTGTATGTATGCACCCTTATAACGGTACGTTAAAAAGCTATTTTCTTTTAAGTGAAAATAAATAGATAATTTTTTACTTTTTTTTGCCATTTCTTTCCACACGGTTAACTTAGTCGAAGCGTAAAATTGCAATTCTCTGCTGGCAAATTTTTTCATACTCTATTCGTTAGTTTATTGAATCTTTTCTCTGCGGCATGGTCACCCTTGTGATTAAATTGTAAAATCAACTTTTTAAGCTAGGTAATAGGTGTTTAACCCAAATCGGTAAACATAAAATGAAAATACTTGCATACATGTGTTCATGCCATCTATAAAAGAAATTCGCGTATGAGGCGTAACTAATTTACCCTGAATTTGAAATAAATATTTAGTTGGCAATTTTAAACCTCTCTTAAACCTCTCTTTCTTGATTCTTGGTAGGATTAGTATTAAAATATTTAATTTGACTAGTAAATCAAATTTATTATGCATTTCTAAACAGGTGGCAGCTCTCTTCAAACAAATAACTAAAGAAATAAAATCTA